CAGGACCGGAAGTGTTAAGCGGGTTGAGAAGGCTAACTGAAGAGCTATCTTTGTTGGTGTATATGCTAGCCATGTTGTGAGGGGCGTGAGCTTTGGCCTCAGAAATAACAGCTCGTTTTGCTTAATAAACCTGTTGACGGCAATAGCTCGGCGTAACTGGCATCATTACAATATAATATGGTCATGAAATAAAAACAAGGTAATGTTATTATGATATATATATATTTTTATTCTTTAATATCTACTTATTATTATATTTATCATAATTGAATATTTCATGATAATTATTTTCAAAATATCAATATTTATACAATATGCTTTTTTAAATAATTACTTTTTATTTCATTTTCCAAGATTTTGGAAAATAAAGAACTTTTTTTCCAAAATTTGTCTTTATTCCATAATGACATTCTCCACAATGGCCTTTTTTATTTCATAATGTTGTTTTTCAGCAGAATGACTTCGTCTGTCAATCAAAGCAGGCAAGGCGGAGCCAGTTAGGTGATTGGCTGTTGCTTTACTAAGACATGAGCAGCAGCACTTGCAGTATCGATTCAAGCGCGGAGACTTATCACCAACTGGAGGCCAGGAGGGAGCGGCTCGTTTAGATGAGATGGCAGCTGGAGAGAAGTCAATTGCAGAATTGCTCAGAGAAGTTGCGAATAGATTGGATAGTAAAACGAATCCTGCACCTCAGCCTGAGAGAGGAGCGCTGCAGCACCGTGTTTCACCAGACGCTAGACCCAGCGGAGGTCCAACCCCTTAGCTTTGATTGACAGACGAACTCATTCTGCTGAAAAATGACATGAAATACAAAAGGCCATTGTGGAAAATAAATAAAAAATGACTTTGGGAAAAGCTTTTTTATTTGAAAATGAATTAAAATTCTTTTTTTTTTTAAGTATGATATTATGAAAATATTCAATTATGATTAAAAAAAATATAACAAGAAGTAAATACTAGAGAATAGCGATATGTAATAACATTACCTTGCTTTTTATTTCATGGCCATATTATATATTTGTGTGTTATTTATCAAAATGGTATTAATTTCATAAATTTTAATTTATTTAATCATGAATCATTCGGGGTTCCATACTAATACCAATGGCGTTCAATAAACAGATTGCTGTATTATTAATGACATTTTTTATTAAAGAGCTCCATGGATGTGTTACGATCGGATTACTATAAGATCATTTAGGATTTCTGCATAGAAAGTGCCAACCTTAAGCCCCTCCCTCATCTGATCTTCCTCACACACAGCGAGGGTTTCAGACAGGGAAACAAACTCGACAACTCTCAAAAGGAACCGGGTCACATCCGCGATTGGAAAAAATCATTTTGTAACAATGATCGACTCATAACTAATGTTCTCCAGAACTTTAACCTGTACAGAAATCTGTCACAGCTGGAGGAGATTGTGGCTGACTTTCTGGATCTAACAGCCATGTTTATTCTTCATTTATTCCCACTCTTACTTTCGGTTCTCTGGATGAGCGTCGTATCAGCCACAGGTGAGTTCTTTAAATACAGTGTTTCCGTGTTTGGGAATCGGCGGGAGCTGCTTAGTGCTACCTCTGCTCTAAATAAAAACAGGATTAATGCCTTTAACTCGG